TTAAGCTTGTTAAAACGACCGGTTATGACAACTCCAATGGCAACCTCGATAAGACCACGTGGCCTATCACGCCGTGATCACGTGTTGAACCTTCTACCACCGCTGACCGTCGTAAATAAAGAAGATGCGACGCTGCATGATCGTTTATTCTCTGACGACCCTCCAGCAAAGAACTACCCGAAGAGTTTTCCAAGTAAAGTTCTGCGGCATCTCGGGGAATGGACATTTTATTCTGCTCCCACAAAAGGGGAACTCGCCCTGCTTGACAAAAATATGTACGATTTAGAAAACGAAGCAGAAAATCCGACCAAAAATGATGCTGACGAGAAGAAGACAGAACATGAGAAGAACACGCCCGGTGCACAGTCCCAACGTGCCGGGGATGACAAAAAGAGACTGGAGACTAGAAAGGGAATGACTCTGAAGACGAACAGAGAAAAACAAAAACAACAAACGAAGGAGGAGGAAAAAATCTTGCAAGAAGAAGCTAATGAGGTGGCAGACCAGCAAAAAGCTGGTTTTTTTCCTGAAGCAGCTCAGAGAAAATCCAACTCAGAGAAAACAAAGCACATTGAAGGCAAGAAAGGCAATAACGTCGAAGCTACAAAGTCTACAAAGAAAAAGCCTAAGCGACCGTCATATGTAACATGCGCGCCTAAAAAGCTGNCATTCGCTGCATCATTATTATTTTTTTCTAGTGTTACTTTGTTTTCTAGATTTCAATATATCTGAGTATGCACTGCTCTGGTTAGTAGCCTCCCGGTAGCCATTTAGTAGATTGACACATTAATAAAGTTGCTGCCGCAGCAGCTTTCCGATTACGTCACTACCTGGGTCACCGGTTTTCTAATGATTGTACTCTGTACTGTATTGCAGCGGGCAAAATTATATCTCGTTTGGGCATCGTGCCTAAAGGATCACGTAAATTCTAATAAAAGCATGACAGTCGAGATGACTTGGGACTAAAAAGTTTATTTTACATTTAGCACATCAGAAGAAAGTTAAATTAAGAGATGACACCGCCGAAAATAGAGATAGCATCTGTTTGTTTGTTTGGTTTTTTTTTGCACGCACAGCCATACGTTTTCCTGTAGGTTTTAAGTGAAGATAAAACAATTTGTGCCATGGAATTTAGGAGATTGAATATTTGTTCTTCTATGTCATGTTATAAAAATAAATGAAACAGCGCTCTCTAACTATGACATCTGATTACGTGACCGCCCGCACGTCAGCTTTCCGATTACGTCACTACCTGGGTCACCGGTTTTCTAATTGAAAAATTTCAGTAAATATTTCAAGCTGTTGGCAGTTAATATAACAGCATTGTTCAAAGTGCTCACAAATTTCTAGGCTAATCAGTGAAAACCAAAGACTGATTAGCATTAGCACTGATTAGTCTACTGATCAAACGTTACGAAAGTAACTTCAAAATTCCACAGTTGTAATTAATTGGTGACCCCGAATTAAACTCTGGTAGAGTCCACACTACGCCGAAGAAATTTTAAAACGCAGTTTTATTTCTACGGTTAGGCCTAACATCCACACTAATCCGTCACGAAAACGGCGCTTTTCGAAAACGTTCTACAAACTGGAGGAATTTGAAAACGCCGGCTTCGCGTTTTCGTGTGGACGGAAAAGATTTCAGTTGAAAAACGGAACTTTCCGACAACGATGTAGTCGCGATAGTCATGTGATTTCCTTGACCGAGTTTTCCTCAAACACAAATCCAAAATAACCGATGACTGTTTAGTTTTTAAATATTTGATGCGTTTCAGTTTCAGAGTGAAACCTCCATCTTCAAATTCTTCCGCCGTAGTGCGGACGTGGGGCTTAAAAATATCCGAAAGTAACGGCAATATTTCACAATTCATTTGTAAGTAAATCTTCAAGTAGTGACCCCAAATTAAGCTCAACTTAGTAGCTTGCAATGTTTTTGGCTGAATATGAACAGAAACATAAACGAATGCACCGAAACAATCTGATCTTTACGTTTCCCTTATTGTAAAGGTAAAGGTTGCTCGATACTCGCTGTCTCGTTCTGTTGGTGCGGGCAGGGAGCTTAGCAATTTCCTCGTTCAGCGCACTTTGCTCTGTCGCTTCCCTTTCCCCCCCTCTTTTTCTTGCTTTTTACACTCCTATTTCTTGTTCTAAATTGGTAAAAAAAAAGATCATGCAACTGTTTTTCATCCACAACTCGGTGAATTGAAATAATACTCACTTGACCCTGTAACTTTATTCCTCTTACCTTAGCCAGGAGTTCATTCTAAGGTTTTATTTTTACACTTACCTTTACTTTTGCAAGCCTATGCCTATACACATGAAATTATGTCCCTAAATTATCAAATCCTCCTATTTCTTGTTTTAAATTGGCAAAAACAGATTTTGAACACTTTTTTTATCCACAACTCGGTGAATTGAAATAATACTGACTTGACCATGTGACTTTATTCCTCTTACCTTAGCCAGGAGTCCATTCTAAACCTTTCTTTTTACACTTACCTGTACTTTTGCAAGCCCATGCTTGTACACATGAAATTGTGTCCATAAATTATCCAAATCTCCAAACTTTAACTAAAGGAATTTTATCGGTAGAATGGTATGGAGAATATATGTGGACTGGCATCTTGCTTTTGTAAAAGCCTCCAGCAACGGCCTTGTAGTGTGTTTAAAAGCAAATTTTAGAAAATCTTATTGATTGTCTTATACAACGGAAAGAAAAGTTCTATTTTCAATATCATTCAGTCCACGCCATGGAGTGGGGCTGTCTAAAAACTGAACTGTCACGCCATGGAGTGGGGCTGCCTAAAAACTGAACTGCCACACCTAAGAGAAGTTAGCAAGGGGATCTCTATTGACCTCGCTGAAAAACAAGTTCTTCGCGACTTCCTTTTAAAATTCATTGACTACAGACAAGGTTGTCGAAACATTTTATGATAGTATTAATGGCAAGAAAATACTTTCATAAGTATTTGTTACAGAACATATAAGAACGCCAAACCCTTACTCGTGAAACCTTCCAGTCTCAAGTTGAAAATGCTAATTCTCCTCCAGTTCTTTGATATCAGTTCTAAGAATTTGGGGATACGTCAAGACTGAATACCGTAGAATTAAGAGAGTAACGGCCTCCGTTACTGTCGGATTTAGCGGCAAAAGGGGCCGCTACTTTCGGGTAACCGCGTTACTTTCGGATGGTTAAGAAACGTTTCTGACGGAAATAGTCGTTTCAGACAAAGCGAAAGTGTAACTCATAAATTAAAAGTTCCGTTTATGTATGTTCCCAACTACCCACATAAACAAAGCTGAACGCCTGAACAGAAAAGGCCTAAACTTTGGCAGAAAGTATAATGGTCGCATTATATCGCGTATATCATATGTGTATCATTTGACTCTGCCGCTAGACAACTGAATACAGTTCATAAATCATAGTTTCAAGAAAAATTCGGTTAAGTTCGAAATAAAATCATAAATATTTCTTCCGAGTTGTTCAGTCCTGTTGTTAGGCTGTTCTATCCGCATTGCGCTTAATTTAAGAGATCAGAGGGTTTCTCTTATGGTGACTTCTTCAAGGGGCTGTTACTTTTGGAGGGGACCGTTACTTTCGGGGTTCAATAGGAAGGTAAAAAACTAACGTTACTTTCGGGGAGCCGTTCTTTTCGGGAGGGGGGGCGGCGTTACTTTCGGAATTCTAAGGTATCACTTAATTGATGATTTTCTTAATTCTCATCACCTGTTTGCTTAATAATGTCATGAGAAATTAGACTTAAAACACTTCTAGACATTTACGTGCGTCATGATTGGTTGAAAAACGTTTACCGTAAATCAATAGAAAGAGAACATTATGACTTCACAACTCGGCTTTCTGTTCACGAAAGATGTAAAACCCTTTCCCTCCCAGTTTACGCAGAGATACAAAATCGTAGAAACTGATGAGTTTTGAACGTCCCATAGAACTCAAATTAACCGTGAAATATTCGCTTCAAAGCCTTCAACCAGTAAGAGCTCGAATCTACGATGCCTTGCTATTCATAGTCAGTTGTTTGATGTTGACAGGGGGCCTCTGGATCCGGCCGTGTTGGTTGAAAGAATATTAGTCGAGGTTACCCTCAAGTAAACCTTTCTCAAATTGTATTTATTTTGAGTTAGGGACGAAGAGTTTTTTGTCCGATTTTGATATTCCTGCGCGAGAACATGTTTCGCCTGTACATGTTTACTCTACAAAATTAATTTAGTTTAGGCCATTTTAGGGGCCCCTTTTTGAAAAAAAAAAAAAGCGAGAACGATTATGCGTCGATACCAGTTTAGACAGAGAAACCTTCAAGCAAACGTGAAAATTATTTAACAGTCTGATAATACAACACAACCCGTGACTAAACACAATCAGCTATAAGTACTTCATTAACACATCGCGGGGTGTCTGCTTCAGAGGGATTAACAACAAAACAAAAAAGTCCATTCAACATATAAGTCCAAGATCTATTAAAATGAGTTTAACAAAACACAAGAAGCCTTCGCCTGTCATCAGAAAATTGACTCAAGGGAAAACCTGTCACAGGCAAGAGTCATTGTTTGTTGACAAATGCACAAGATTGGGATTTTACAGGTTCGCGTCTATAGCATTAAACTCGTGCTTTTCCTAACGACTTTCCGTAAATTAAGTTCCTTCAGTGAATAACCGAGCCTGAGAAAATAATGCATTCATGAAGGAACTTCGGTTAAATTCGCTTTGTGGTTCAACTTGTTTGTTAATTCTAAAGCCACCTCAAAAGTTTTCATCTTAGATATCAGACGTCATGCTGTTGTCAGGGAAATTGTACACAAGGTTCTAAAGGTAAGCAACTTCACTTTTTTTGTTTAAAAGGTACATAGAATGACAAGAAACAGTTAAATAGCAAACAATAACATTGGTTCGCACTTGTACCTTGATACGTAATGCTTTTTGCGAGAACCTTCTGGAAGGATTTTAAAACCACGAGCAAATTGACTTATAATGAGGAGGCAAATTAAGTGTAAAACCGTACTCCCGTGTGTAAGGGGGAAGGTAGTCCCCCGCTGGGGTGGAGAAAGGAGCTAGTATAAAGTTTTTATTCGTATCACGCACATGCTGAAGTTAGAAACACCCAAACCAAGAGAGGAATTTGAAAAAAGATGTTTTACAAGTTTATTTGTGTGTGTTGCATGCCGTCTTACCCGTGTAAGAGAAAGTATAGTGAAATTTATTAAATAAATTTAGAATTCTCAATTTCAACTTTATATGGTGTCTCTATTATCTGCTTTTGGATAAAAAGTTTCCAATGTCTCAAGGTTTTATAGTTTAGGTCAAGAGAGGGATTTCAATTCTTTCTTTTTACTTTAATTTATTTCAGATTTTCATCATATTCCATTGCAAAATTAAGCTTGTTAAAACGACCGGTTATGACAACTCCAATGGCAACCTCGATAAGACCACGTGGCCTATCACGCCGTGATCACGTGTTGAACCTTCTACCACCGCTGACCGTCGTAAATAAAGAAGATGCGACGCTGCATGATCGTTTATTCTCTGACGACCCTCCAGCAAAGAACTACCCGAAGAGTTTTCCAAGTAAAGTTCTGCGGCATCTCGGGGAATGGACATTTTATTCTGCTCCCACAAAAGGGGAACTCGCCCTGCTTGACAAAAATATGTACGATTTAGAAAACGAAGCAGAAAATCCGACCAAAAATGATGCTGACGAGAAGAAGACAGAACATGAGAAGAACACGCCCGGTGCACAGTCCCAACGTGCCGGGGATGACAAAAAGAGACTGGAGACTAGAAAGGGAATGACTCTGAAGACGAACAGAGAAAAACAAAAACAACAAACGAAGGAGGAGGAAAAAATCTTGCAAGAAGAAGCTAATGAGGTGGCAGACCAGCAAAAAGCTGGTTTTTTTCCTGAAGCAGCTCAGAGAAAATCCAACTCAGAGAAAACAAAGCACATTGAAGGCAAGAAAGGCAATAACGTCGAAGCTACAAAGTCTACAAAGAAAAAGCCTAAGCGACCGTCATATGTAACATGCGCGCCTAAAAAGCTGAAGAAGAACGCCCAAGTGAAAAGTATAAAATCACATGTACCACCAGCGCTTGCAAAGGTTGAAATTACGCTGAAGAAGTCACGTGGTAAAGTACTTGGCGGAGCAGAATCTCGTGACGAAATAAGTACTGAGCCGCTGACAGTTGAAGGGCATAACATGTCAGTACCAGGCTCCGACCGGAAACATGGTCATACTAAAGAACGAACTCACGATATTGAAAGAGCTGGTGCTCATAAAGACACTGTAAAACTGAATACAACTGAAAGAAAAGAGAGTGAAGTGAAAAGGAGAAACAGAAGTTTTATATCTGACACGGACACCGCTGATTTAGATGCTGATGATGGTAAGACGATTGCACCAGAGAAAGCACAGTTGAGGAATCCAAAGCGTTCCGTTATAAAAATTCCATTGCAGGAAATTGATAGTTCAGAGGAAGCTGATACCAACAACAGAGTAATAACACCCGAACCTCAAGCGGAGCGGGACATCAAGTCAGAAAACATTGATTCAAAGTCAGAGTTACAAACGGAAGTTGATTCTCCAGCTGAGGATGCAGTGAAATCTAAGGCTTCCCCTGAGAATCTTTGCGGTAATTTGGACAATGATGTATTGTGTGACCAGTGTGTCACGTTTGGTCCGAGCTCTGAAAAAGAATCAGAGAATGAGAAGAAAAGGGCAAAGTCCCAAAATGGGCGTAAAAAAGAACGCAAACGAAGTGGCAAAAATAGGGTGAAATCCGGCTAAATATTAAACGATTGGTCCATAGGGAACAGTTAATTTTGTTTCCCCAGAGAATCGAGAGAAACCAAATTGATTGGTTTCCCGAGGGACCAGCAGTTAAGGTATTTGTTATATAGCACAACAAAGAAATAAAAGGAATTCACACCCAACCGCGTTCATCGGTCAACATTTGCGGGTAACAGTAAACCGTTATTCTCCGATGTCGTAGATTTCGCAATGGCGAGAAACAGTTTCATTGTAAATACGATGTGATCTCGCCTTAGTAGCCATGCCAATGAGAGCACGCGCTGTTGAGGAATGAAATTCCAGTTGTGTAACAATTTCTGTTGTAGCGAGCTGGACTATAGTTTCAACGGAAATCTGAAATTCAGGGGCGTATCCAGGATTTTCTTAGGAGGGGGTGCACCACTAAGGAATGGTGTAACTGACCGGTGAGGTAAACAAATTTTAAAAACGAATACGAAGAAGAAGGCTTCATCTCAGGGGAGGTGGCTGCACACGCCCTGCACCCTCCCCCTAGATCCGCCCCTGGAAATTGGACACTACTGTTTCGTGTTGCCAAAATATTTCGAGAAAAATAGGCGACACTGAAGTTGTTTTTAGTTTTCTCAACAGAAGTCGATTCCAGAACGTTCTACGCTCTATGATGCGTTCGTTTCTCACAACTGCTCTCTTGAACTTTCTCAGCTTTTTTTTTTCTTTTACAAAACAGATCTGCTGCATGAAACGATAATCATTTGTGGTTCGAGGTTTGGCAAAAATGTCACAACTTTTCAGTGGTGTCATAGACATGTCATGTGTAAGCATGGCTTTCTTTCAAAATTATTTAGTATGATAGGAATGCAATGCGTGCAGAGAGATAGCTCTACACTTAATATTATCTAGTGCCACAGCCACACAACATGTAAGTATATAACTGAATTCAATAACTGCTTTATCATTCAGTCAGTGAGTCTGTTTATTTCACACTTCATTTTACATTAAAATAGCTTCTGAATGTAGTGGGAAGTGCATGCTTCTTGTGTTTTGTCAGCAGATTATTAAGCAAGGACCTTCAGATCAAAGCACAAGTAGAAGAACAACTTTTGAAGTCTAAAATGCTTGCATGAGATTGTCATACCTCACATCAAACTCATTCCCAGATCCTCTGACTAAGAGTATTCTGACAAGGAGCAGAGAGAAGTGAAAGTCCCAGACACAAGATTAATTCTAAAGTAGAAAGTTGTACTCTTGTTCTTTCTGGTACCTCAGTTGGAAAATCGAATAATATTATTCACTCCAGACCATGGTACAGTACATGCTAATGACCTTGAGCACTCTATATAATAATTTGGCAGTAATAGTAAAGTCTTGACGTCATGTTTCTATGATACTAAAATTCTCAGTTCTAAACAAATGGCACATTCCAGACAAAGAAGATGCCTGGCACAATGCGCATGTGATTGTGACGTTTATTTAGGACTAAATCTTTTCATGTCATGACGATGTGATGTCACACTTTAGGACTCTACAGACATTACTTAAGGTGTCTGAGCAGTCTTTCAACCAGTAAAAATAAGGGAAATGAAAAGAAAAATCACAAGATAATAATAGCTTTCTACCTGTCTGCTTCAGTTGTTTTTCACCTTCTTTTGCCATTTTAGAACTATCCTTACTCAATCCAATGAATTTTAAAAGAACTTCTTCCTCAAACTTTATCAATTAAAAGAGAGTATCTACAGTCTTGGTGTTAACAATCTTGGTTTTCCCTGAAAGTTGATGGTCGTTTCAGGCTTACAGATCTGTTTTTCTCACCTACTGTTTGTCACATTCTGTCCTTATTGTGTGTTTCACAGCAAGTTGATTATCAAATTTCACCTATCTTCACTAGTGCTTTCATTATTTCTTCTTCATTAAATTAGCCCACGATCTCTGATCATAACCTGCTTCATCCTCATCCTCGAGTTCATAAATTTTCTCAGGCTTTTCTGGTTTAAGTCTCTTCATTCTTTCTTTTCTTTCCTCCTCTGTCATGTCAGCAGG